TTTAAAAAAAGAGAAAGAAATACAGTCTCCATAGGTAGCCCAGGCTGGCCTCAAATTCCCAATCTTCCTGATGAAATTAAGTACAAGCCTGGCCTAAAAGACACTTTTTTTTTTAAAGCTTCCTTCCAATAAGACAATTTCTCATGGAGAAAGACATTTAAAGTCTGTATCAACTGGTCCTAGTGGTGTAGGCACACAAGACGCCCACTCAGGAGGCTTGCCATAAGTTGGAGGTTATTCTTAGCTACATGTGGAAACCCTGTCTCAAAAAACAAAAACTATCCTAATAACTACAAAAAGCCTTTTAGCTCTTAAGAGAGCACATGATTCCATGAGACAGGAGTAAACCCGTGACATCCTCCAGGCAGTCAGTAGAATATAAAACATATAATACACATAACTACATGTCATAGAAGTAGAGACTGGAGCGGGTGTTGGTGGCGCACGCCTTTAGTCCAAGCACTTGGGAAGCAGAGGCAGGCGAATCTCTGTGAGTTCGAGCGAGACCAGCCTGGTCTACAGGAGCAAGTTCCAGGACAGCCTCCAAAGCCACAGAGAAACCCTGTCTCTGTCTCAAAAAACCAAAAAAAAACCTCACAAAGGAATAATAAAAACTTATTATAGACATCAGGATTGCTTTTTGTTTTGGGGGGGTTTATTGTTTTGGTTGGGGGGGTTGTTTTGTTTTGTTTTTTTTGAGACAGGGTCTCACGTATCTCAGGCTGGTCTTGAACTTTCGATGTAGCTAAAGACAATCTTGAACTTCTGGTCCTTCTACTTCTAACGGGGCTTTCAGGCGTGTGCCACCAGGCCTAGCTTATGCACTACGGCCGATGCCACCCTGGGTTCCTGCGTGCTAGGTTGGCACACCAGCGAGCTACAGCCCCATCCCCCGAGAGCCTTTTTATATACCCTGGTATGTTCAGAATAGGCCCAAGCTTCTAAGGGAGAGGTAGAGAGCATCACGGCACAGGGCCGTGGGTAGCTTGTACTGGGGTTCACTTCAGGAGCACAGGACATTCTTGGCCCAGCTCTGCCTTCTCACCACAGCCCTTTTGGGGATCCAAGACAGCCTTATCCATACAACAGGACTTGGGTGCAGGAGGCCCTTGACTCCAGAGTGCCTAGAAAGATGTTGGAATAAGGCAACCTAGCCAGCCCAGATCCCACTTTGCAGAAACCAGAAACCCAGATGATGGGGTTCACATGACATCTTCCGTGGATACAAACACGTGTGGGCCACACTATACCGAGTTTATTGGTTCAGGCCACAGGACCTCAAGTTCACAGTGGGCCTTGAGCTGTGGGCTGCTTACAGCTCTATAAGCAGTGCTGGCCAATCAGGGGCTTGGGCATAGCTAAGTGTGAGGAGACAGGGAGATGGCACTCAGAATCAAGTCTTTGGAGTGGGCTGGTGAGAAGGCTCTGCGGTAAAGGGATTAGTGGTTACATGAGTGCAGCTATTCCGTATCAAGCCCACAGAAAGGTGGGACTGAGAGAATGGACTCCGCAAAGGTACCCTCTGACCCGCCCCATGCACAAACATAGAAATGATGGCTGGCTAGATGGCTCAGCAATTAAAGGCCTTTGCCACCAAGCTGTAACCCTGGAACTCAGAGATCTGCCTGCCTCCTAAACCTGGGATTAAAGGCATGCACCATCAAGCCTGGCCCACATTTTAATAAGTTGCACTTATTGTTTGAGAGTATCGGAGGGAGTGTGTGAGCAGTTCAGAGAAAAATCAAGGCAGCTGATTCTCAGGCCATGTAGACCCTGGAGATTGAGCTCAGGTCCTCAGGCTTGGTGAAACTAGCCATGTCTCTTTTTATTTCTTGGTTTCTCTGTGTAGCTCAGAGACCTGCTTCTTCATGCAGCACCACTGCCAGGTTGAATGGCTCTTTTAAACAGGGTCCCATGTTGGCCTCCAACTCCTGATCTTTCTGTCTCTATTTGCCCAGTGCTATGATCTGAGGTTTGGAACACACCCAGGGTCAATCTAACTTTAATAACCCAATCCCTTTCCCAGCAGTGTTTCCTAGGGCCACACCATGTAAAACTATGGAAAGCTATCACGCAGCCCAGACTGACCCTGAATTTATCCTTTCCCTTCAGTTCCAAGTGCCAGGGTTATGGGTGTGGGCCCACACCTGGCTTTAAACTTGCATGTAATATTGCTGTTTCCAGGAAACGTTCCAGGAAGTGCAAGGGAAACCAAAGAAGATCCCATCTCACTAGTTCTAAGGGCTTGAACAGTCCAAGAACTGAGATATGAGATACTAGTCAACATGACAGACTGCTTGTTGGAGGGGACCTTTTGGAAGGTCACTGGAGACCTTGAGAGATGACTGGATATGGCTCTAATCCACGCCTCAGGGTAACCTAGACCTGAATTAGCTTTGAGCTGTCTAAACAATATAAAGGACCATAATGGAAATGCAGATGTCCCCACCGGCTGAGGGCTGGCCCTGTGGATATTAACTATGTTTTTCATCAGTCTGTAAATTCATTTCAACATATCAGATAGCCTGCAGTTTGAGAGTTCTTAGCCTAAGGGCTGTAGGGTGGGGGCCGGAGATAAGGCAGAGGCTAGTCCAGTCCCATTAGTTGGGAAGTTCATTTTTCACCCAAAAAAGGTCAAACCCATTTTAGCATTAGAATGAAGATTTCAGTATTTTAGATCTTTGCTGTTGTTTGCTATGCTGGGGGCTACTTTTTCCCAGAACCTTATTCATAACAGAAAGTAGCAGCTGCCCATCCTCCTGGATAAGCTTCAATTCACTGGCTTTATTCACTTCTGCGAAACGGTCATTCATCCAGAAAGCACAAAGCGCACCACCTATAGGTCTTTTAAAGTTAGACTGGGTGACTGCAAAGCTCTGAAAACCAGGGGTTTCCCCATCAGGATGAAGAGTTAAGTATCAATACATCACGAATCATCCTCCAATCTGTGCTACAAGAGACCCTGTCTCAAAAAACAAAACCACCCTAAATGTGGCCCTACTTACTGAGTTCTAGGCCAGAATGGATTCAAGACAAGTCTCATGACCTGAGTTCAATCCCACTAGTGTATGGAGAGAGTACTGGCAATTGGCATTTCAGCCCCCACAAGCACACTTGTACGCAAACACAAAATGCAAAAGGAATACTTACACCCAAGGTAACAGTAACTGAAGAACGACAACGGAGGTTCACACACACCCATGAAAAGAAGGCACCAAGCAACAGCCCCCCCCACCCACCACCACCACCACCACCACCACCACCCTGGTCCTGGCTGGGCCTGACCACATGTATTTGACTGTTAAGAAGCAGGAGAATGCTATGCAAACGGAACATACCAGAAAAACTTCTACACACAAACCTGGTGGGGGAAAAAAAAAAACATTCAAAGTTTATTTTAGGACAGACAGTATCAGCAGGTAAAACTACAGTGTAGTTCACACATTCATTCACAGGGTGTGAAAAAGCCACGGCTGGTGTGTTCTCTGTAACAATATCCACTTCACAGTGTAAACAGCTGAACAGGCAAACCAGCAAACACTTTATCACAGGGCTCATTTACAATCCCAGAAGGAAAGGCACAACTCGGCAGAAAAAAGAAAGTTTTGGATCCTAAAATCAGGTGCAACAAGAAAGAGGAAGGAAAGTGGTGGATGAGTTCCCATCCTCATTTTTGGCAATGGCATCCCACGGGGCAGGAAGAAATCTTCTACACAGGCGCTAGAAGTATGTCCCTCCTCCCTCATTAAACCATCAGAACACTGTTACAACAGCTGCTCAAAATGATTACACATACAAAAACATAATCAAAAAAAAAAAAAAGAAGAAAAAAGAAAAAAAAAAAAAAAGCACAGAACCAACCATGGAGATATCTTGAACATCTGGCCCTTCTCACCACATTAACTCCTAAATTTAAGACCTGGGAATACTTTGCGGTCACAAAATAGCAAAATAGAGACTTTTTTGGGGGGGAGGGGCGGCTACAAAAATAAAAATAAATGAGGTAGATAAATAAGCCCTCACATCCAAGACCTGCCTGTCTCAACACTATAACCTTCATAATGGCAGAGGGTGGTGTGAAAATCTTCACTCGGGGATAAGGAAATTGAAGTAACAACAGGAAGGTAACATCACTTAACATTCGGAGCGGCAATAATGAGTCTCGCCTGGCCCTGCTAGGAGTTTCTCCCTAGGGAGGAGCACGCAGTTCAACAATGCAGGGAACACTGCAGAACCAGGTGAAATCACCTGAGATACCAGCTCCGCTGCCCGTCCACTCCAGGGTCTGTGAAGAAAGTGGTTTGTGGGAGATGGGGGGAGGGGGGCAGGTGGCAGTTTTGGGGCTCCAAACCATTTAAATGAGCATCAGGGTAAGTGGTGGGCTCCCTAGGGACCAGGGTCAGTTTGTGGGCATCCTACAAAGGATCTGAGGTTTAAGGAAGTAGGCTGATTGGACCACCTTAGTTTTCTGAGGTTTCTTTTCTTCCTTTCTCTTAAGGTACATTCAAAAACAGAAGATGAACACAGGGTCGGAAGGCATAAACCAGGTCCCTACAAAGATGTCCACTGACCCGCATAAAGTCACCAGGGAGTATACAGTACCCTCACCCCTGGATTGAGGTAAGTAGTTGTCACTTCCACTGTGGTCCAATTTGCCAACTGTTTCACTTTGAAACAGGTGACAGTCTTTGGAAACAGCCAGGAGGTCACACAAAGCCTCTAGTGTACTGTTTGTCCCAAGTAACAAAACCCGCTTCTTTCCACAAAGTCTGTTTTGGATTTTTTTTGCTTTTTTTTTTGCTTGTTTTTTGGTTTTTTTTGTTTTTGTTTTTATTTTCCTTTGTTTTCATTTTCTTGGAAAGCAGCATAGCAACAATCAAGATTGTAGGACTGCCCAAGGCTCTGTTCACTTGCGTTTAAGGAAGAGAAAGAGCAGGAGACTGTTAAGAAAGCTAAATGATGGAGTAGATTTCACTCCAGTTGCACTCCTCTCTTCCTCCTTAGCTGACTGCAATCTTGTTTTCCTCCAGAAAGTGGGGGAACTGGTGCTTGGCCACACCGTCAGGAACAGCAGGCTTCTCCATGTTCCCGCTCACAGCAGACTGAGAACTTTCGAGCTTGGAAAGTGTGGCGTTGCTCACGACAGAGCTGGCCCCCAGGGACATCGGCAGTGTGGGGATGCCTCCACTCTGGATCACAGAGATCTCATTGGTCTTCATGGCCAGACCCCCATTGAGAACGCTGGTGTACTGGTTCCAGGTGGTGGGGTCCACGCTCACCGTGGGGGACAGGAGTTCCTTGGGAAAGGCCTCAGACACTCTCTTTCCCTCTGCACTCAGGATGGCCATGGGGTTCTCCATGGCCAGCTTCCTGCCCCTGCGGGCGGCATTGTTGTTGGCCCCATGCGTCATGTAGTGTACCTGTGCAGGGACAGCAAAAAGAGTGTCATCACAATCTCCTGCCTCCACAAGGGCGCGCACCATCCAACCTTCATAAGCACCCTTTTTCTTAGAAATTGGACCTGGGGTGATGCACAAGCTCAGGAGAGGTAGCAAGGCCTTGAGTTCAAGGGTAGCCTAGGCTACATTGTGAGAGCTTGTGCCAATAAGCCAGAAAAGAATCAATTCAGGTGTTGGGACTATTTGAGAGCATGTTTGTAGGTGTATTGGGGAAGGAGGAGAGGAGAGGGGACAGTCTGGCCATCTTTGGCCAACATCCCTAATGTCAATAAGGGTAAAGGCTGCTCTTTCAGCAGCATCCACCTAGCCATTCGTGGGCGTATTTACATAAACGCCTAGGACACATCAGACATCATTGCATTCACTGTTACAGGCCACAATGTCACACTTCCCTGAAGACCAGTGAAACAGCAAACAGACTGTCCACGCTGAGATTCTCACCCCCATATTACTTTTACTTTTATAAACCTTACTGTGAGGAAAAGGAGGTGTGTACTTCTCACTACCTGTCAATCTCACAAATACGCAAATGGAAACATTTACTTGAAAGGTAATTTAGGCTGGGCAGTGGTGGCGCATGCCTTTAGACCCAATCCCAGCACTTGGGAGGCAGAGGCAGGTGGATCTCTGAATTCAAAGCCAGCATGGTCTACAAAGCCAGTTCCAGGACAGCCAGGCTACACAGAGAAACCCTGTCTCAACAACGGAACAAAAAAAAAAAAAAAAAAAAAAAAAAAAAAAAAAAAACTGCCTTGAAAAACCAACAAAAAGGGTAAGGATGGCTCATTACATAAAGGGCTTTCGTCAACCCGTGGTCCTGTCAGCACTCACATACATGCTGGGCAGGTCTGATGGCCCAGCCGTGACCTCAGCACTCATGAGGTAGCGGTCATATGGTCAGCTAGACTAAGCTCAACTAAAAGTAGTTGGCAAGGCAAGCTCTGTGTTTGGAGAGGCCTTGCCTTGATAAACAAAAGTGGAGAGTATTGAAAAGATTCCAACATCAACTTTTGATCTCCATGGCTTATCTCTACACACATACGTACCCGATACACACCCCATACAAATGATTTCTTTTTGTGTAGTGCTGGGGCTTTGAGTATGCTGGACACATGTACCATCTCCAGCCTCAAAAGTGACTTTGGAACATGAGTTGCTGCCTTGCTGGGGACTGGTATAAATACCCAGCAAGCACTGTTAAGGAGCCTGACTTTTTTTTTTTTAAAGACTTATTATGCAGCCGGGCGTTGGTGGCGCACGCCTTTAATCCCAGCACTCGGGAGGCAGAGGCAAGTGGATTTCTGTGAGTTTGAGACCAGCCTGGTCTACAAGAGCTAGTTCCAGGACAGCCTCCAAAGCCACAGAGAAACTCTGTCTCGAAAAAAAGACTTAATTATGCACTCCAGAAGAGGGTATGAGATCTCATTATAGATGGCTCTGAGCTGCCATGTGGTTGCTGGGAATTGAACTCAGGAACCATGGAAGACTAGTCAGTGCTCTTAACCTCTGAGCTATCTCTCCAGCCCCGAGCCAGACTTTTTCTTGGTGCAGCCATTTCTTCTTTCCCTGCTGAGCAAGCTTAAGATCCATTCCCCTGCCTCAGCTTTCATAGGGCAATGTGATGCCCAGCTGAAGGAAAAATAAACTCATTAGCAAAGACACTGGAGGCTATAAAGAAAAAACTGAGCCAACTGAATCTATTGATAGAAAGATGCTAAGCAACCTGTTGCTTCTTCTACCTGGGTGATTTTAAGATTTCTTTTAAATCAGGCCGTGGGGGCACATGCCTTTAATCCCAGGACTAGGGAGGCAGCAGTAGGTGGATCTTGAATACCAGAGCAGCCTGGTTTACAGATCAAGTTCCAGGACAACCAAGGATACACAAAGAAACCCTGTCTCAAAAAACAAAAGATTTATTTTTTTTGAAGGACTTGGTGGTACACGCCTTTAATCCCAGTGCTTGGAAGGCAGAGGTGGGCAGATCAAGCCTAGCCTGGTCTACAGAAGGAGTTCCAGGACAGCCAGAGAAACCCTGTCTGAAAAAACACAAATAACAAAACAGTAACAGAAGAGACAGAATCTCTTCTAGCTCAGACTGCCACTGAATACTAAATACTCACCCTCCCTGCCCCTATACCCTCATCTCCCAAGAACTGGAAACACCAAGCCTGGTTTGGAAGGGACTAGGGACCCCCCCAAGAGCTTTGTGAACACTAGGCAAGCACTCCAGAGTTGCCACACCCCAGCACCAATGAGTCAAGTCTTGAGCTTTTTTGGTAGATAAACAGAGACCCCTGAATGAAACCAGTGTCTCCAATACCAAGTGGTGTTGAGAGTTAAACTTGGGTTCACTGCATGAACAGCAAATGCTCTTTAGCCCTGAGCTATCTACAGTATTGGGATTATAGCTGTGACTCACCACATTTGACCACAAGCATCAGTTTGGGACTAGAGAGATGGCAGAGTGGTTAGGAGCACTTGCTACCCTTGCAGAGCCTGAGTTCGACTCCAGAACCCACACGGGAGCTCAGAAATATCAATTACCCGATTGATGATGTTCTCTGATCTTCATTTAGTACAAGGCACAGACTTGATGATGTACATGCAGGCAAAACACTGGTACCCACAAAAGAGAGCTAGGTAAGGTGGCTCACACCCATAATCCCAGCAGTCAGAAGAATTCTCAGCTTAAGCCAGCCTAAGCTACGTGAGACACAAAACCATTGGGCATGGTGGTGCATGCCTGTAATCCCAGCAGAGACAGGAGAATCTCCATATTCAAGGCCAGTCTGGTCTACAGAGAGAAACCCTGTCTCAAAAAAAAAGCTTCAAGAGCTAGCTGAGATATTGAACTCTGATTCTTCTTCTTTTCAGGTTTTTTTTTTTTTGCGGCAAGTCCTGGATTTGTGTAGGCCTGGCTGTCTTGGATCCATTGTGTAGACTAGTCTGGCCTCAAAGATCCACTTACCTCTGCCTCCCTGGTGCTTGGAGTATAAAGGCAGGACTTTTTTAGTGGTACTGTGGCTGGAGCCCTGTGTTAACCCAACACTCTAGCTGCACCCTAGATGCCCAGCCTTTTCCGTGAGACAGGGTCTCTCTATGTAGCCTTAGTTGGCCTGGAACTTACTATTTAAACCAGCCTCCAACTCAAGAGAATCCCCCTGCTTCTTTCTACCCCTGGGACTGCCGAGCTTCAAAGCTCCAGAACACCATATAAACAGATGGATGTTTCCTGTCCACACAGCAATCAATCAGTAGCCATCAACACCCATCAGAACCCACCTTCAGATTGCCTTTAGTGGTGAAGGCTCGACCACATACGTTGCAGACAAAAGGCTTTTCTCCCGTGTGCGTCCGCTCATGGATCTGAACGGCGCTGGCAGACGAGAAGTTCTTTCCACACCGTGTACAGCAGTGTTGCTTGGCCTGGCGGCGTGGCTGCGCTGCCACCAAAGGTGTCGTGCTTGAGGACATGCTGGAGGGTCCCACAAAGGTGCCAGGAACTTCGACTTTGACGTAGGTGGGCTGTGCATGACTGTATGTTGATGGGATGCCAGTGCGAGCTAGTGTGGAGGGAAAGAGACCAACTTTTATCATCTAACACCCAACTCACTGTCTGAAGCAAATCATTTCTCCACAACAATAGTAGCTTCCAGAAGAATACCTGTTACCAACTGCCTCTTGGGGGGGGGTGGGTCCTCTCATGGATATATCATCAGCAAGTGGGCTAGGCTACTGGCCAGAGCTTAGAGATCTGTCTGTCTCCCATCAGCCAACACCAGTTACAAGCACACTCCCGCATGCCTGCTTTTCCATGGAGACCTGAACTCAGATTGTGAGTACATACAAGGTAGGTGTTTAATCACCAACCTCATCTCTTTGAGTTCTTCTTTACACAGAAAATAAAATTTGAACACTTAGGAAAATTTGCCTTTTTATGGTTTAGAGTACAGGTAGCATAGAAATGTGTGCACATAACATCCACGTCTCATCGCCATCAGGGTTCAGGCTTATCATCTACTTCTTTGGGAGGTAGAGGCAGGAGGATCCTAGAGAGATCAAGGATCGTGTAGAATGAACTCAGGCCGGTATCCTCCCCAGCCACCTGGAAAATAGCCAGATATGGTGAGTGATACACACCTTCAATCCCAGAACCTAAGGGGTGAGGAGGCAGGCTGATCAAGTTTGAAGTTAACCTGGTCTACATAGTGAGACCCTATCAAAAGAAAAAGTACCACAATAAAGTCACCTTTGCGCCATACCTAGGCATTTTCTGTGATTCTAACGAGGTATTCTGGAGCCGTGGACAGCTCAAATCGATACATCTAACATAAGGTATTGTCTTTCAGATGTGAACACTATGTTTCATAGCAGGACCTCAGTTCCAAGCAACTATTGCTTGATTTTTGTGGCCCAAACAGTGCCTACTTCCCATCACACTTACCTACTCATGGGGCCAAATAAAAAACAAAAAACAGGTGTGTGAGAGAGAATAAAGATTCTTGAAAAAAAAAAAAAAAACCAACACCCACACTCAACCTGCATGACCCATGATAAATAGAAAGTCTACCAAGTACTTAGGACATATAGGCAGTTATCAGCTTCCTCTACACACAAGCACAGAATTAGCTAGTTGCCCTACAGAAACTGCTTCAAGTCACACTCAAGTTCAACCCAGGCTCCTTTTCTGGTGACCTTGAGCCCAAAGGGGACATTAAGTGAAATCCAAAGCTTCATCACCTTCCATGTCAATGCGGCAGCTCTCCACGCCCTCGGCCTTGATGCCCTCGGCCTTGATGCCCTCGGCCTTGATGCCCTCGGCCTTGATGCCCTCGGCCTTGATGCCCTCGGCCTTGATGCCCTCGGTCGGCCTTGTGCCTTAATGGCCTCCACCTTGATGCCCTCCGCCTTGTTCACATCAGGAGACCGGGACTTGACACTTTCTGCTTGGCTATTGGCAGGGGACACTGCCTGTAAGCACATGGATTCCTCGCCATCTAGGCTTTGGCTCCGACACTCTTGGTCACCCATGAGTGAGGACAAGTCATTGACTAGGCAGTTGTCCCTCTCTACTGAGCCATTTTCTCGGCTGCTCTGCCACTGCAGGCCCAAAGGGGGAGGAGCCCCTTTCCCCTGAGTATCCAGGGAAGCCATCACAGAGAAGTCCAGAATGGGTGACACCAGGTGGGTACCGGGAACTGATTGGGAGACCTTTGAGGAGCCACCAGGAACATCCCGTGAGCAGATGTCATCTGCTTCCATCCTTTCCACCGAGTCTTCCTGGCAGACGGCATTGGCACTGCCATTCTCGCTGACAACCATGGGCTCAGGACCTGTAAAGTCACAGGGGCTCTCTGGCAGGGGTGTGTTAGGAATCTGGCCACCCATGTGCATTCGGATATGTTGCTGTAACATGACGGCATTGGTGAACTTCTTCTGACAGATGGGGCATGAATGCTGTGTTTTTACAGCCGTGTTGGTTTGGTGAACCCCGAGGTGCGTCTTCAGGTTGCCTTTGGTGGAGAAGGCCCGGCCACATATCTTGCACTGGTACGGTCTCTCCCCTGTGTGGGTCCGGTAATGCATCTTGAGGGAACTCTGACAGCTGAGTACTCGATGACAGATGAAACACTCGTTGGGGTCGGCAGTGGCCTTGTCGATGTTCTCCACAAGCTGCTGCAGTTTCAGGGTCTCTGATCCTGACTCCGGGGTCCCACTCCCCTGGAGGCCCCCAACCCTTGGGGGATTATTCGCAAGCCCCCCCCCAAGGAGTGGGAGTCCCACCTCACTTTCTGGAGAAGGCCCTGGCTGCGTGTCGTTGGGCAGGTAGCCACCCATGAGGTCCTTGGGGTTAGGACCCGATGTGAGCTTTTGAGGTAGCCCTGTGGAAGGTGTTCCCATGACATGGGCAGGCTTGGTTTCTACAGAGAGACTTGATTCATCTACAGGGATGGGGGCAGAGGGTGCATAGGGGGAGCCGGTGCCTGCTGCTGCTTTGTCCTGGAATTCGGCAAACAGCTGGGGGTTTGCCTTCACCTGAGGGTGTCGATAGAAGTGTACCTTGAGGTTGCCCTTGGTGGTGAATCGGTGACCACAGACAGAGCACACGTAAGGTCTCTCTCCGGTGTGGGAGCGGAGGTGGATCTGCAGAGAGCTATCTGTCCCGAAAACCTTGCTACAGTACTTACACTTGTGCTTGCCGAGGACAGTCTCATCCTTGACCTTGACATCCAACGCAGTCGCAGAGACGTTTGGGGGCTTCCCTTTCCCTTTCTTGGATGGGTCAAGTGCCGCAGAAGCGAAGGGACTCTGAAGGAGCACAGAGCCCGGGGTCTGAGGTAGCAGGGCACTTGGGAGGCGAGACATGAAGTTGGGGAGAACCCGAGTCCCATCAGGCTTCAAGGTGAAGGGCGTAAACCCCGAGGACAGTGAGCCTGTTGTAGAGGGGGCATTGGCATGAGGTAGCTTGGTTTGTTTCAAGGCATCTAGAGACAGAGCTGGGTTTGAGGACTTCTGGTTGAGCAGAGCCACAGCAGCGGACACCTGCTGGGATATGGACACCTGCTGAGACACATGGTTGCTTAAGGCCTTTAGAGTGTCTGCACCTGCCATACCAGAGTGGAGGGCGTGTGCCGCCCACAAGTTCACCTGGACACGGATTTGTTCGGTGAGTTGGATCTGCTGGAGCTGCTGCTGCTGCAGACATAGAATCTGCTCTAGGACCCATGGGATAGTGTGGGCAACTGACATAGGGGCTGCAGGGGCATCCACACTCCGCTGGTTCACTGCCACCTTGGTGCCACGGAGCGCCTGCAGAGTCACATTGGTGTTGGCCACTTTGCCTTTGGGTAAGTAGCTTATGTTCTGGGATGTGGGTGGCAGGGAAGCCTCTGTCTTTAAGTAAAGGATAGAGTCCATGCCCAGCTTTTCCTTTGAGCTCCCTGAGCCGCCACTGTTGTCCTGGTGACTGTCCTTATTGCTTGGGCTGTCAGGCTGGTGGCTCAGGACAGCTCTGGGGAAGTCCTCTGAAGGCACTGGCCCCTCACTGTCGTTCATAATGAGGACAGGTGGATTTTTAGTGCAACTTTTCTTGTGTTCCACGAACTCAGAGAGACTGAAGAACTCAGCACAACACTTCTCGCAGATGTGAGTCTCCTCCCGCCGAGGGCGCTTTACCAGGGCCATGTCCTCTGTCACTTCATCGCCATTCCCTGGGGAGTTCACTGGAGCACCTGTGCAAGGAGAGGAAAAGGTAAGCACTCTGACTGACAGGTCCCCATTACACCAGTCCTGATTCAAGAAGGCTGTGTAAGGGACATAAAGTCCCTACAGCCTGAATTATAACTATCCACCACCAAGCCTCATAACTCATGCCTGCCTTGCCCACGACTTTGCCTGGAGTCTCTTAAAGAGCATCACTTAGCTCAGGCAGCCCTAAGGCCGCTTTGTAGCTGAGTGTGGCTTTGAACTCCTAACCCTCCTTGCCTCAACTTCCAGATTAGTGGAGTCTGTTACTAGCTTGGACAGGGTCTTTGGCAAAAGTTAGGCTGGGTCTTAAACTTTAGTATCACTCTAAGAGGAAGAATAGAAACCAGTGAGACACACAAGTCACAAGAGAACGGGGCCTTCTGAAGGCCAAGGCAGAGATGGAGTCAAAGGGCTTTACCAAGATCTGCTAAAACCAACCACGGGAACCTCATCAGTTTCCCAGAGCCTCCATGAGGAACCCTGTCACCTAAACTCAGACCTTCCACAGCTGTGCAAACCAATCAACTGCTATTATCCAACTTGTAGTAGTTATTTGCAGAAATATAGGATAAATAGCAATTCATTTTATTATAGAATTTTACTTTGTAGTCCAGGTTAGCAATTAATTCACACCTGGGCTTCCCAAGTGCTAGGATTATAGCCATGAGCCACTACTAGATAGTTCTTTAAAGCAGCCCCCACTGATCGACATGAAGGCCAGAGGGCAGCCAATGCCAAGGACATTGGAATTGGGTCAAATTTTACCTGATCTCCATGACCTAAGCAAAATGGAATATCGTAAATCACATTCAACCCAGGTGATGCGTATCTGTCACCCAGGGGTGACAAGTTTAAAAACAACATTAATCCATCCCAGAGAACCAAGTTTTAAAGGTGCCACCAAGGCATCAATCCAGTCTGGTCTACAGAGCAAGGTCCAGACAGCCAAGGTTACACAAAGAAACCAAAAAGGGCAGGGTGTTGGTGGCGCACGCCTTTAATCCCAGCACTCGGGAGGCAGAGGCAGGCGGATCTCTGTGAGTTCCAGGCCAGCCTGGTCTACAGAGCCCGTTCCAGGACAGGCTCCAAAACAATATAGAGAAACCCTGTCTCAAAAAAACAAAAAAAACAAAAAGAAACAAACAAACAAAAGAAAAACCAAAAAAAGAAATGGGAATCCAACACCTCACTACTCCTCCATCTGCTACCAATCGGCTCCGCCCAAGACATTTAAATTCAGAAGACTCGGGAGTTAGGACTGCTCTACTTGGTCTGTCCTTTCTTATTTATCGGTGGTCACATGCTTGGGTTTGCTAGTGTAACCCCATGTTCAAAAGGTCAGGACAACTTGAGGGAGGTCGAGTTGGTTCTCTCCTCCATCTGCTGGGTTCCAGAGACTGAACATTGTCAACTGCATCTTAACCTACAGGCCTAGACTGGATCTCTTCAATATTGTTTTCTGAGAGTCTCAAATAGGCCAGCCTGATGAAATGGCTCATTGGCTAAGAGCACTGGACCCAAGTTCGATTCCCAGCACCCACATGATGGCTCACAATTGTCTACACCTCCAGTTCCGGGATCTCCTCCCACCTTCGGGCACTGCGTGGACATGATAGATAACACACGTATGTGTGAGGAAGCCCTTAAAACTGTGATGCTACTAGGCCCTCAGACCAGTGACTTGAAGTCAAGCAAGCATGACTCAGCAGTTCCCATTTCCCCGGGAAGGGGGCACTGCGGCGCCCCTGCCTGTTAGGTCTTTCCCTGGTACCTGCATGTCCCGTGACGGCAACACCCTTTTCTTTCAGCCACACAGGGAAGTCTAGGAGACAAAGACTCCTGCTGACTAGGAAGCCATGGAACAACAACACTTTAGTTCAGAACAAGATAGGCAGGGGCAGGTCCATCTGTAAGGTCCAGCCCACCAGGCCAGTAAAGGCCACGTAGAGAGACACTGGTCTCTCTCTCTCTCTAAGTGTAAGGAGGGAAACAAAGGTCTGGAGTGTGGCTTAGTTGGCATTGGGGGTGGGGGTTACAAGGAGCCCAGCACAAAGTAAAAGTCATGTGACTACACTCCTGGAATACCAACACCGAAGAGGCAGAGGACAGAAGTTCAGGGTCATTGTTGGCTACAAAGTGAGGTGGCCCCAGATACAGGACACCCAGTATGAAAGGAAAAACTAACGAAGTGCTAAATTGTGCCTTGTGTCACGGAGAATCCCATCTCAGGAAAAAAAAAAAAAAAGTAAAAATCTTTTTAAAAACTTCCTCTGGGGGTCTGGAGAGATGGTTCAGTGGTTAAGAGCACTGGCTGTTCTTCCAGAGGATCTGGGTTCAATTCCCAGCACCCACATGGCAGCTCACAGCTGTCTGTAACTCTAGTTCCAGGGGATCCCACACTCTCACACATGTGGGCAAAACACCATTGTATATAAAATACAAATAAATAATTAAAACAGAAACCTCCTCTGGGAAGAACACTTCCAGGGAGGAGGATAACCGCATGGGAAGGCACACACAGCTTCCCTGCACGTTGCCTATCTAAACTGCACCCTCCGCCTCAGCAACTCCAGTGTTTGGACACAGCGACACCAACAGCTCTTGGTCTACCAAGAATCCGATTACATAAAAAGTACACCAAAAAAAAAAAACAAACAAACAAACAAACAAAACAACAAAACAGTTTAGACTCACTCTTCCATACCAGAGAAAAAGCTACCCAAAGAACTAATAAGAGTTTTCCAAAAAAAAAAAAAAAAGTAGCCCTGGCTGCCTGGGAACTCACTCTGAAGACCAGGCTGGCCTCAGAGACCCATCTACCTGCCCCTGACTACTGCAAAAACAACAAAACAGTTTAGACTCACTCTTCCATACCACCAGAGAAAAAGCTACCCAAAGAACTAATAAAGAGTTTTAAAAAAAAAAAAAAAAAAAAAAAAAAAAAAAAAAAAAAAAAGAAGGAATTTTGAGAGCCCATCCCTTGTGAAAGGATGCTCTCTTGACCTGGGCACATGGGGAAGGGCCTAGGCCTGGCCCCGGGGGAGTTTGAACTGGAGTCTCACAGGCCACGGAGGCCCTGATTTCACTGTAGCCCAGGAGGCCTCAAACAGGATTATAAGAGTATTTCAGCCTTTGCCCAAGAATTTTTAGGAGAAAGGAATTTTATGAAAGGCAGGAAACAGGCTGGGCAGAGTGTGGGTGTGTAAAGACATAAACGTCTACAGGGAAGTGAAACTATTGCCTCCTACACAGGGTCTGAGAGCCTGGGATAGGAAACTGTGTAACCTGGCTGTCCTGGAACTCAGAGATCCCTGCCTGCGGTCTGGGTCTGGGTCTGGGCTGGGTCTGGGTCTGGGTCTGGGTCTGGGTCTGGTCTGGGTCTGCCTCCTGAGTGCTGGGGTTAAGGGTGTTGGGCACGACTGCCAGGATGTCCCTTTGAAATTGGCACCAATTTGGGTGCAAGTGCACTTCCAGCAAAGTTGGTGTCCATTCTGTCTTCACACCTCACCCACTCTGGAAACCACACTTCTCCCGAGGCCCAGTCAAGTGGCCGAGTCTGCCCTCCAAAGCTGTGTCCTGACGACCGTGCCAGACCTCCAGCTTCCAGCCCCCTCGTGCTAAGCTAGAATGAAAGCAACTACACCACATCTATCTAGTTAAGTGTTCTGAAGGGCTGAAGACGGGCCGCGAGCTTAGCCTCATGCATGCTGGGCAAACACTCCACCAATTTGACCGCATCCCACCTGTCTTTAAAGGCCAAAGGCTCACACCTTTGATCCTAACACTCGGGAGGCAGAGACGGGGGACCTCTGAGTTTGAGGGCAGCCTAGGCTACAAATTGAGTTCCAGGACAGCCAGAAATGTTATAGAGAAACCCTATCTCAGGAAAAATATAAACAAATAAAAGAGCCACGGCATTCTCCAACCACCCCACCCACAGCACACTATACATATACTACTTGACTAGGCTCCTTTGAGGTCAGGCAATTAAAGTACCTTTGAACCCATTTCCCAGATGCAGATACTGAACTAAGGCTTAGGAAGAATTAAGTAATCAGAGTTATTCCTTAAAATGGTTCAGGAGTTCCTCCTCTTCTCACTTAATTGCTTCATCCCTCACGAAATGTTAGCATCAAGTGACCTTGTACATAGCAAGAACCAAACTCTTCCAATTCTCAACCAGGCAATCTTAAATTTTGTTTTGATACAAGGTCTAGTTATGTAGCCTTGGCTGTCTTCAAACTCATTAAGTAGCTTAGGCTGACCCCAAATTCCTGGCAAGCCTCCTTCCTGCCTCAGCTTCCCAAGTACTGGCAGACTGACTCTAAGGCAGTCTTAACCTGCAATCCATTAAACTTACCAAAGATTTACGCCAGGCATGTAAGGGACATGTTACATAATAACATTCACAGCAGAAACTACAACTGTTATGTGGAGTGCTATGGCTATGGCTCTTCTACTTTCTGGATAATTGGAGCAGTTGACTGGCAGACAGGATACCAGACCTGCCATTTTCATCAATATCCCCCTAGCAAAGGTGTTGGACCCTGCAGTCTCAGAGGGCTCCTGTTATTAGCAGTTCACCCTCTAGTATCACCCCCACCCCCACATTGGGTATTGAGCCCAAGCCCTCACACCAGCTAGGAAAGGGCTCTCCCACTGAGCGGTATCTCCAACCCCCAAACTTTAATCTCCGGGATTTAGCAAACCCACATGCAATGCAAATACTATGTAAATAGTTCTCAGACTGCATTGTTTAGGGGCGAAATTGCCAGAAACAATGGCCAGCACGGCTCATCTTTGTCATTTTTCAAGAGCCTTGGGGGATTGGGGGAAGATAAGGAGGACTAAATGTTTGCTGGTCACTGTACTTTGTTCCCTAGAATTCTGTGCACTCTCAGCATTCGACAGAGGAGGGATCTATGGCGCAAAAGGTTAAGCACCTCTGCTCCAGAAGGATCCACCAGTTCCAAGTGATTTACAGCCAGGATGCCAACTGCCTTCACTGTATACACAAGCCCCAAAGCCAGCCTCTCTCCTTCCAGCCTGGCTGCTCATGCACCAGCAACATCCCACTTAAAACTGCAGCCACTGTTTGCTTAGGCAATAAAAAAAAAAAAAAAAAAACTACCTCATCCACACCACCATCGGCAAATAATGGAACCAGTATTTGCCAAGGAGTAAGAAGACCCTGTTAAGAACAATTGCTGGCTATGCTTAAGTTAGCCCGAAGGGAAGGAAAGCCAAAGTCCACAGGGATAGCGCCAGCAAGCAGGGCCTCCATCCCCCACCCCGAATTTTAGGAATGTTATCTCTTCAGCATCTAGTTATCCAGTAAGTTGGAAGAATGCAGTAAACCCAGCAGGGGTCTTAGATTCAATCTCGGCCAGATGGATGGAAAACACGCTTACTATTGTATAGGAAGAAAGCTAATCAAGCCAGGAGGCCAATCCCTAGCCGGAGACACTCAAACACTTAAAAAATAAAATAAAATCTGTATATCTCGATAAAAGCCTGGCGACTCAGGCTTTGCTTATCTGTAACTGGCCCTGTATTAAGAGAATGACAATGAACAGCTTACCTAAGGCACACAGTATCTTAGGCCCATCCCTACCTCCAGGATAAGTGCTTACCAAAAAACAAAAAGGAATTATGTTTCTGGTATTATTGACCCAGCTGTAAGGGCTTGTTTTTTTTTTAACCAGTTTCATATATCAAACCTTGAAATCTACCTGTAAAGGTCAAATTTGACCTGATATTAAGCCTCTCCTTAACCAAAAAACCCACAAAAAGTAAAAGTCATGGATCAAAGTTCAGGGGCCCCGTGGAAAAGGTTTTTGAAAGGGTGAAAAGGAGACCGAGCAGAAGGGCTCAGTGGGTAAAAGATGCTTGCCACCACATCTGAGCTAGAGCTTCTGACCTCCACATGCACATTGTGGCAGCACATGAAATTAAAAAAAAAAAAAAAAATCAATTTGAAGGGCAAAAGGCTCAGAATAAGCCTTGTCTAAGTAAGGGATGCCCTGTCACCTCTTGCCTCAACTGGAATAAGCTTGCATACTCCAAGACACGGCAGAGCTCTCTTCTCACTGTCTCCAGACTGTCTCAAGACTTTAACATGTTCAGGTGTGTTTGTTTAAAAAAAAAAAAAAGTGCAGATTAAAGTGATAATGGTTAGTAACATCCTGAATGCATTTCCTACTCATTTTGTTTCAAATCAGGTGCTCCCTCCCCAGAAATGAACTCAAATTATTTTAGTTCTGAGTTGTTTCCCAGGGTCCCATCACCCACAGCTTCCAAAGACAATTTGAAAAAGTCAAAAGTGGGGCTGGCTATGCTGGCAGATGCTTCCAATCCCAGCAGCTGGAGGCAGAGACATGAGCATGGAAACATTGGAGGCTGGGATGGTTATGGTAAAAAGCTGCCATGGCCACACACACAGACCCTGTGGGAGGAAAAATAAAAAGGAAAATGACCAAACCAAATCAGCTTCAAGCACCAACCACGGCTGCCTCTTACAAAGGAGAACATCACTGACAGCTCTAGGACCATCAACAAACACCCCATGGATTCAAGGAGGGTAAAGTCAAGTTGGAGGGAAATGGACCAGGCCATGTCACCGGGGAGCATCCATTAACTTTCCGGTAAATAAAATTCCAAACCTACTTGGGTTGTGAGAATTAACGATAAGGTCTCAAAAGGTCCAAGCCCGGGGTCTGGCACACAGCATGTTCCTATGTCTGGAACTAGTAAAAACATCTTGAACAAAGTTACCAATCACACTCCCAATGTACAACATGCTCCTATAGGTCACGTTTTCAATGCCAGTGTACACAAGTACCCAAAGCTGAATGGGGGGGATAATCCACCACCTTACACCCGGAATGTACTGCTGATCCTCTTACCAAATCTTGCCAAAATCCTTTTCCCCAAACTCTCATTTGACACTTTACATCCAAAAGGCAGAAATTCGAGAAACTAACCATGCCTCAGTCGCCGAAAATGGTCCCCCAGAACCCTACTTAGATGGGAGCCTGCTAAACACGCCCATCAATGACAAAAGTATCGTTTACTGGCGGCTGAGCACCACTGAGGGTGAGGGAATGCATTTTACATGCAATTTAATGAATAAAAAAGGTCGTGTGCAAATTACAGCCCCCACCCCTTTGGGGAAACTCTAAATTCGCTTGAAACCTTAACTAAAGCCAGCACAGGCAGGTCAATAGAGGCTGGAAACGGGAGCTAAATTACTCAAAACCTGGGAATCGTAATAGCTGAAGGTTGTAATCCAGTTTAGCACAAAGGGCATTTGGAACTCTTTTGAGAAAATGCTAATTTTCCTTTAAGTACTGTGAGCCCCCTCTCCTCGACCACCTGCGGATTTTTTGATCTGCTAATTATTGCCCGGATTTCATTTTCCTAGCTCAAAAACTGCATTCTCCAACGGACTGATCAAGAGGGATCCAAACGCTTCGCGATAAAGACTCTAACCATCATCTATCCATACTGGGACTGATCCCAAAATACAGTCACTTAAAAAAAAAAAAAAAAAAAGTTCTTCCCAAAGGCCACAAGTGAGGACTCCGCAAACATATTCTAAGAATTCTTGGCGCAGACTCCCACGCACAAATGGCGATGGGGAAGGTGGGAACCCTGCAGAGATTCCCCCCAGTGCGGATCTCCGGGCCCAGCTTGCCTCACTCACCAGGTGTGTGCCCGGGTCCGCACATGACCCGTCTCCAGAGGGCGCCAGCGCGCTTAGCCCGGCTCGGACCGCGGGTGATCCGCAGAAAACGCTTCCCAAACCGCGGTGGCAGCGCGCGCCCAGCGGCGTCAGGGCGCAGCCAGGTTATAGTGCGACTCCAGGCAGCGGAGATTTCGGAAGCCCTTCTTTAACATGCTACCCCCTCCACGCCCTCGAGAAAGTCAACCACCGTCTAAAAACAAAAATCCACACCAGTGTGCGCTCACCCCAAATGGAGGGGGATGGGAGGTCAGCACAGGACCAGGGGAGGGGTCAGGGCCGGGAGCTCGCCCCTCCTCTCCCGAGGAAGCAGGCGGGCTTAGGGTTAACCCTTTTGTTCCAGGTGGACCAGGCGACCCAGCCTCTCCGCGGCTCACCCCCCCAACACCCACACACACACACACCAGCTCCCCTGGCCTAGGCACAAAGAGCCCTATGATGTGGGATGCTCCGACGCCCCAAAACTCACATCCGCTCCCCGGACCAAGTAACGACCTTCCATTTGCCCTGAGGGGAAATAATACATTACGGTGGAGGGCCACTGAGCTCTTGATAGACCCGGGAAGTTGCGGAAGACTAGGACCGCAGTCCCGGGAAAGCGGGAGCGTCCCGAGCTGAGCGCGCAGAGTCCGCCGCTACCGCGCACCGCCCACCAAGCGCGGAGAGCTGGAGTCGGGCGGGAGGCCCGGGGGACCCCCTCCCCCACGTTCCCAA